AGGTATCCAGGCTTGATGGAGATAGCTGGGATTGGCCTGCCCCATCTGTGCCGGCAGAGGAGGCATGCTGCAGGCCCCATTGGCCAGAGTATTCGGCTGAATACTCCGCCACCACTCAAGTCCTTTGGAACATCTTGCCAGGTCTTTAAGCTCTTTAAGCTCTTGTGGAAGAGCAGGAGGGTTGGAGCCAACCCCCCCCCCCCGAGTGAAGTCAGCTCCAACCCTCCTGACCATCCATAAGTGCTTAAATACCTGGCTCTGACAGTTGGCTTGGGGCTCCAGTGGGAGAGCTTCACATTGGAGGTGGTTGATAGATTCATACATTAATACCAGATCCCACCTCTCCCCCCTGCTCATCCTGCTCCTTCCCTCCCCATGTTTTAGTTAGGGTTGAGTATTCTTATAGTATTTTATTCGTATTATATATAGGTTTTGTATAGTTTTATCCTTTTCAGCATTGTAAGCCACCCAGAGTTATCCTTGGTAAAGTGGGCAGCTAATAAATTTAATAAACAAACAAACAAACATATAAAATATGGTGCGCTTCCATAGAGAATAATTGAGGGGCATGGGCAGCCTTATACTTATGTCAAAATCTCTGCTATTACATTTTGTCAATAAAGTAGTTAATCAAGTAAATGCTAATTTTTAAAATGACTGTCTTATTGGCATATTTGGAATAAACTATGTTCAATGCACCAAGATTTCCTTTAAGCAAACAAACTGCTAATAGCTTCTACCTCTCTTCAGAAAAACACTGGTATTAAGAAAAAAAAATCTATTTTTGCCTTATAGATGAGGAATCTCCTAGTCAATGTTATTTATAAAAATAATTTAGTAAGCCAAAGGAATGATGGTTGAAATACCTTGTTTTATTAGCCAAAGATTAGATATAGTTCCACATTTTTTTTCTGTTCAATCATGTCTGATTCTCGGAGACTGCCAAGACAAGTCCCTGCAGTTTTCTTGGCGAGGTTTTTCAGAAGTGATTTCATTAGATGCAATTCCATATAACATGCATAAAAACATGTCACTGAGGTATAGATTAAACTAATCACTGGAAGAGTAAATGTAATGCTGATTACTGAACCCATCAATGTTTTCCCCTTACCCAGACTGGTTTGGGCTGCCTGCCATATGGCAACTTGCCAGAGATCTGCTCATTCCATTCTCATTCCAGAAGAAAAAGAGGATGTTACTATTGTCCAGCTGCTCATTCTTGACATCCCAATAGTCTTTCATGGTCCTTCTGGAGCTCTTAGGACACTTCAGACAAGGCTTTTTTGTGTTGCGACATAATCCCAGAGTAGAAAATACATCTGCTGCATATCTTAGTAGAAGTGGGCACATATATATTTTTAGCTCTTCATCTTTTTATAATAAATGGAGATAATGAAGCAAATATGAGGTCACCATTCCTTATTTAATGAATCTTTATAGTTTCTTCCTTTACAGGAAAAACAACTTTCTATGCAGTGTGAGCAAAGGCAGTCCCAACACTAGGAGAACACATGATAATGGGAAAGTTACAGCAATGAATTAAAGCTGAACAATGCCTGACCTCACGTTGCATATTGGAATAAAACTGTAGAAATAACATTAGGGCTTAGAGTGATATCTCTGTATATGAGGCCTATCTTTCCGCTTATGTAAGCAACCATATTTCAACAAGTCATATTTTGGCAAACTGTGTAAATCCAGATTATTATATGGTGCCATTAAGATTCAAGAAGAAATAATATTTAGTTTTAAAAACATTACATAAGCCTCCAGTGTAATTGACTTTTGAGACTATCAAATTTAAATAAAGAATTGGCAGCTGGGAGGTTTTCTGAGAGTAATTTAAATTAAATTACTAATATTATATAATGTATATTAATAATAAATAATGGATTTGGGGGGGAAAAATCAAAGAACTTGATATATTTTATCCAGGGAAAAGAAGCCCGTCTACAGCAATATAAGACAATAAATGTTATACAGGACAAATGTAATACAGAAATGTAAGACAAATTAATACATGGCAAGCAAAGACTTCAGAGTTTTTAGGGACCCTTTTAGTGTTAAATTCAGTGTCAAATTCAGGGATCACCTTGGTCAGACATCATGTCCCAGGAATCAGTGGGGTTTTTTTTTTAACATGTAGCTGCTTCTTCTCTTGATACTCTCTGTTAAGATATACTTTATACAGTATATAAACATAATTTGACTTTTTACCCAACTCGCTAATTATTTGTTTACAAATAATTGTTTGCATTTTGTTTTGCGTGTTATGAACATAATTGTGGATTATTTAAACCATTATCTTAGAACACATGAACACAGATTGCTCCTTGGCTTCTGATCCTCTGGCAGCATTATTCGGCATTATAATCTATAGTGTTTAGCATTTGGGGACTAAAGAAATGTTAGTGTTGCATTATAAAATACATTAGCACCAAGAGGGTTACAACAATGGTTTCCTGTGACTGGAGACAGACTTGGTGAATCTTCAAATATGGAATGTTTGTTTCTAGTACCCCAACAACTGTCCTTTCCATTTATGAAGAAGCAGCTAAGGCAACCTCTGTCCACTAAGGTGCAACATCACAAGGGAGCTTGGTTCACCTCACTCCTCTCCCCATCTTTAGTGGATTGGCAATTGTGGAATTGGAATGGAAAGCTTGATTAATAAATAATATCAACGACAATGAGAAGAGAGAAGTACCTAACCATTCTTCCAACACATGTCACTGTGAAATCAAATATGAGATTCAGGGTGTAATTGGCTGTGAAAAATTCCAAGGATTATACTTTCAGTGATCAATTATATTGAATAGACACATGTACATATCTTTGTTAAAAATATACATATATTTTTATATACATATATATATATATATATATATATATATATATATATATATATATATATATATATATATATATATATATATATATATATATATATATATATATATATATACATAGATATGAAGACATATAAAATGTGATAAAATGTCGATCAAAATGTTATTTTTGTACATATAAGGATACAAAGATAAGCAAACTCTAATCTTTACATCATGAGTTCATAATCTTTATGTTTCTATTTCAGATGATTCACCTCCAGAGAATGCCTTTCCTTTGGCTTTTCCAAATCTAGAACAGCAGCTCCAGGTGCCTTTGTTTTCCTTTTTTTTAATATTCAAAGCTACAATATGGAACATATTTTTTAAAATTATCAATAATGTACTATTGTTAGTGGGAATCCACATATACTGTATATGCAATTAAGATGTTCTCACATACTAAAAATGATTTGATCTGCAAGATAACTTAATAGAATTTATAATAGGTAAAATATAAGGAATAGAATTTAAGTGTATTCTTCTAGGGCAAAGAGTAAAGGAACTTTACTTAAAACAATTATGAGGTGATACAGTTCTTCCTGAGGCAAATAAATAAATTCTAAAAGCTTCTGATGCCACAGTGATAAAAAAATACATTGCAATATACGATTCAATCCAAGGAGAAAGGGAGGAGATATAGGAAGGGATATTAGAATCTCTTAGTTTCAATTGTGTAGCACCGTTAGATCATTATATGACATCATTGGGAGATTAAAAAAGAAGTCAGTTTAGATTGTGCATGTCATTTAAATATATGTTGGTAAGTAAGAAAAGGAAAGACAAAGATTTTAAAGAAAGGAACAGTAAAGAAACAGGATTTTAACTACAGTTCCATACAATTCAAAATGTTCAAAACATTCTGACCAACAATACAAGCATAATATGTGGCACACGGGTTTGTACTTAGGCAAATGATATCCTGCAATGCACAAGAATTTCTTAATGGGAGAGTCCTGAAAAAACATTGGAATCACTTTTTCTTGGCCTAAAGAACTAATAAAAATAAACAGTGCTTTTTTGTGTAAAAAAAAAAAAAGGTGCCAGAACTCACACACATCATACAACCTGCCTTGCCTACTCTACAAGGTTCCATCCAGAAAAGGTGCCGGAACTCTGTTCTGGGCCTTCTATGACAAAAAAGCCCTGAAAATAAATATTTAAAATCTTCTAAAGCCATTAATTGCATAAGGTGCTTTATTTGATATTACACCATTTGTTGTAAAACACTAATCCTAACTGTGATATTAATATTGCACAATTTGTTCAGTTAGTGCTCTAAATATTGTAAGCAAAACAGTCCTTTTCCTCATTGGTCTTGATCTTCTTATCAAAAGTCCACCGGAAGATATTATTTTACAATGTTGCCAAGGTGTGCCAATACTTAGTGTTATGTTTTCAGTTCGGTGAGGCCCTGAAGAGGCAAATGGTGCAAACAGCAACTCTTTATTCAGTTAACAACAGAAGCAGCCCTGCTGCTTAACCACTATATATACAGCTCACCACTAGGCAACAGCCAATAGAATTAAAGCAGCATTTCCCTCTTAAAGACAAGCTAATTAACATGTAGACAGTCAGTCTGGAGCTTAAACAGGTGCAGCGTTTTGGCCGTTTCCAACAGTTTCCAAGTAAATTAACCTCAATACATAACACCCCTTCCCCCTAGATAGTTCATAATGACAAATATTGAACATAGTCCTGTAAATATTTTGGTGGCCTTCTTGACTGTTCTGAGCACCTCGGCACTACTGTAGGCCTCTGATCCAATAGCTCACCAACCAGGCTGGGTAGGCCAGGGCTTTGGGACCCGTTTACTACAGGTAGCCCTGAGTCTCTGTGGCTGGTCTGTCTGGGTAGATCCAAGCCAGTGTCTATAGGTGGAATGGTTTCCACCGGGCTGGGAATCGGAGCTGACTGCCGGAATTGCTCAGTGGGTGCAGTCTCTATGTTCAGGGCCAACTCGCTGTCCGCTAGTGCCCCTCTCCTGGGAGTCTTGCCCACGCTCGAAGACTCTGATGCACGGGTGTTGTCAGTCTCCCCCTGGATTTGGCCTTCGTGAGAGTCATGAGCCAGCGGCTGGTTCTCTAGCCTCCTGCGCAGTTGGTTGATGTGCCTGCATATCACACAACTGTCTTCCAAGACCACTTCATAAGAGAGTGGTCCTGACACTTTACCAACCACAGCTACCACCCACAGTGCCCCTTGCCCATAGTTTCAAGCCCAAACCAGGTCGTCAACTTGCAATCTCCTCAGTGGCGTTGGCTGTGCTGATTCCAATGCAACTTGGTCTGGATGCAGACAATCCAGCTTAGTGATTAAGCGACGGCCTCATCTTAATTCTGCTGGGCTTCTGCCCGTGGAAGTGCAGGGAGTCGTGCGTTGGCAGAGTAAGAAGTCTGCCAGTCTATGCTGCCAGTTGCTGGTTACGATCCTTTTTAAGGATTCTTTAGTCGTTCGGGCCATGCATTCCACTTGGCCGTTAGAGGCTGGGTGAAAAGGTGCCGAAGTGGCGTGCCTGATCATGTCAGCCCTTAAAAAGGACTGGAATTCTGCAGCGGTAAATTGAGCCCCATTGTCTGAGACTCTCACGTCGGGTAATCCGTGTGTTGCAAAGATCCTGCGCAGTTCCTGAATGGTCCTGGTAGTAGTCATAGTTGGGACAGGTGCGACCTCTAACCACTTAGAGTGACTGTCCACCACAATAAGGAACAGCTGTCCCTGAAAGGGGCCTGCAAAATCGATGTGGATTCTTGACCACGGGGCTTGTGTGGTTTCCCATCAATGGACGGGGGCTTGCGGCATTTCTGGTCGGGATTGCTGGCAAATGTAGCAGCTGTGTACTTGGGCCTCAATATCTTTATTTAACCCTGGCCACCACAGGTAGATTCTCGCAAGTGCCTTCATCCGGACTATTCCCGGATGTCCCTCATGCAGAGACTCAAGTACCCTGGGCCTCAAGGAGTGTGGAACTATGACCCGACTCCCCCACAAAATGCAGCCTTTGTGAGCTGAAACCTCATCCTTCCTCCTACTGAAACTCTGAAAGCTAGGTCCCGGACTTATGTCCGGCCATCCTGTGAGCATCCAATTCAACACATGGCTCAGTGTCTTGTCCGAAGCTGTTTTGGCAGCCACGTCCCTTGCATTAAGGGGAGACTCTGGCAAATCCTGGATAGCCAGAATGAGAGCCGCTGGAGCAGGGTCTGGCTCTAAGTGTGGCAGGAGCAGTCTGCGAAGGCCGTCTGCATGGCCCATTTCCCTGCCCGGTTTGTGAATCAGACTGTAATTATAAGCTGAGAGAAAAATGGACCACCTCAGCATCCTTGGAGAGAGAATCTGAGGTGTTTGTTTGTCTGTAATGAATAGACCCAGGAGTGGCTTGTGGTCCATAAAGACCATGAATGGCCGACCATATAAGTAGTCATGAAATTTCTTAATACTGGCCACAATGGCCAATGCCTCTTTATCTATTTGGGCGTAGTTACATTCCGCCGAGGACAGAGTCCTTGAATAATAGACTATTGGAATTTGTCTTCCGTCAGCCGTTAAATGACTCAGCACAGCCCCCACCCCATACGGGGACACATCACAAGCAATGCAGACAGGCAGCTTTTTGTTAAAATGTGTCAATACTGAGTTTGAAGGCAACAATGATTTGACTGCTAAAAAACTCCTCTCCTGAATGTTCGTCCATTGCCATTGTGCATTCTTGTCCAAGAGCCGGTGTAACGGCTCTGCCATTGCGGCCTTGTGTGGTAGAAAGGCATGATAAAAATTGAGCAGTCCCAAAAATGCTTGAAGCTCCCCCTTTGATTTTGGACTTGGGGCCTGCTGAATTGCTTTGAGCTTGATTTCAGCAGGGTGAATGCCTTTGGCATTTATGCAGAAACCGAGGAATTCAGTCGAAGCTACCCCAATTTTACATTTCTCCTTTTTCAGTTTCAGGCCCGCTTCGCGGAAATGCTGAAGGACGGCCCTGAGCCGTTCTGCCAATTTCTCTGCTGACTCCCTAGCTATGAGGACATCATCATGCTCTGGAAAAGTCCTGGGGCGACACTGACTCCGAATTGTAGGCGCTTCACCCAGAAAGCTCCCCTGTGGGTAACTATAGTTTGAGCTTCTGCCGTGGCATCGTCCACGGGCAGTTGCTGGTAGGCTTGAGCCAAATCCAATTTGGCGAATATGCGTCCTCCCTGTAGTGACGCCAAAATGTGGCTGACTATAGGGACCAGATATGAATGTTGTTGAAGCGCTCTATTAATAGTGCACTTATAATCTGCACATATGCGCACTTCCCCATTGACCTTAAGTGGTGTAACTATGGGAGTTTCCCACCTACTGCTGTCTACTGGCTGCAACACACCTTGTTGCACTAGCTTGTCCAGCTCTGCGTCAGTTTTGGGTTTGAAGGCAAAAGGCACTCTATGAGGCTTGATCCTTACTGGGGTTATGGTAGGATCAAGGTGGAGGGTAATTGGAGGACCCTTGTACTTCCCTAAGTCTTGGCTGAATACATCAGCAAACTCTTGGCAAACTAATGACAGGTCCGCTGCTTGCGTTCTATGTATGCCAGTCACGTGGATGCCCAATGCATCAAACCAGTCTAGCCCGATGAGGCTTGTGCAGTTGTCTTCAACAACTATGACGTCCAGGAGACCCTCAAACTCTTTGAACTGCACTTTGAGCGTGGCTTCTCCTTTAACCACTACGTGGGAGTTTTGTAAATCAGTTAACAGAAGATTCAATGGCTTGAGTTTGACTCGTTTGCTGCTGCGATTGCAAATGTGGTTAAAAGTTCCTTGGGAAATTATAGACAGGGCTGACCCCGTGTCTAGTTCCATGTTGCATGGGACTCCATGAAGTTTGACTTTGAGTCTCAGCTTCTCCTTCATGGAGTGATGGGCACCTGTTCTAAACACATGCCTTCTGCTGGCACAAAAATCCACTCTGTGTTGCCCCGGGGCCCCGGTACCTTTCCTGAGAAATTCTTGTGGAATGTCCCTCTGGCGACCTTTACAGACGGCGATGTGGCCTTGCTTGCTGCACTCCTGGCATGTTGCTGTGCAGAACCTGCACTCCGAGAGTCTATGTCGGCCTCAACAGCCCATACATTGAGTGAAGGGAACTTCCTTGTCAAGTGGCCATTGAACTCTTGCTGGTGGCTTCTGCAGCAAATTGATTTTGTGGTCCATGCCGGGGACTTCACCTCTTTCCGTGTCCTTGTGGTGGACGGTTTCTGGGCTGGGAGTGTTCTTGGAGGACCGTAAGGCT